TCTATTATTATTTTTCCAGTTTCTAGTTATTTGAGGGACTCTTGTGGATTTTGTCTTTTCTTTAATGGACGGGGATGAATTCATGTGAGAACGGCTGTATGTGTGAAGAAGTGTGAGGTCAAAGTCACGGAGCGTCTCAGTTGATTAAACCGTCCAGTCTGGATGGAAAAACTCTGCTGCTGTTGTGGCGATGAGCCGGCCATGCAGGGGAGCAACCTATACAGCATCTCCGTGGCAACTGCATGCATGGCTGAAGAGTGGTGTTGCGTCTCCACACTGCGTCGAGCAGAGAGAGTGAAAAGAGAAAGGAGGCCGAGAGGAGGGATCTGGGTTTCATGGTTTTGCAGGGGGGGAAGCTAGCATTACATGAGAGTGGACTGGGAGTGATGACATTGTTTGTGAGTAGCAGCTGAGTGCACCTTTACATGAGCCTCTGAGGCCGGAGGGGCTATTCACCTGTCCGGGCCGCCGGACAAAAGGGGGCAGACAGATAGAACCCTATCCGGGGCTAGAGCCTGCACTGCTGCTGACACTTTGGTATCTATAATAGGTCTCAGGTTTCCTGGTTGTTTCAGAGGAAATTAGGGATTGATTGTGGATCAGACGAGGGTTCTGGGTTTTCACCGTCAGCCGGGATGCGGGTGATGCTGGAGGAAACACGGTGATGTCTGAGGAAAGCCCAACGAGACCGACTCGGATTAAGGAGCAAACTGCTCCCGTGACACTCCTCCAGTGACTGAATGTCCAAGGATGCAGCGACACTCCCTCCAGCATGAAGTGGATTTATCTGTGGTAAGGGACAAAACCCAAACGGAGCTTTCAGAGTGTTTTCTTCATGATGTTATAACTGCTGATCATTTCTTCTCCTGCCAGTCTGAGTGTGTGAACATGTCTGCAGTGCTGACACCACCGCAGGCTTCCAGAAGCATCCAGCACGTCCACACAGCTTAAGATGGAGAAGAAATACCCAGCAATCGCAGGAAGAGAAAAAGGTCAGTGTGCCGACGGTTGGCTCAGAACCCTCAGTGGAGACGCACTGTGATCAGAACTTTGGTCCAGGTGGTCAGTGGGGGTCAGCAGATATTTCCCAGCGCTGACTCGGTGAGCAGAGCGGAGGCTTTTCTCAGCGAGCAGACCTGCCAGGACTCGCTCCGCTCTGTGAAAAATGCTCCCACTTGTGCACATGCTGCTGAACACTTGCGTGCTGATGTAATGCTTTCTCCAGGTCCTGTTGTTGTGTTGTGTGCCGTTGCCTGTAGTGTCTGTCTGACTGAGAGCAACGTTCTGACGCTGTCCTTTAGACTTCTGACAAAACAAGACAGAAGAGGAGCTAAAGCAGATCAGTTTTAATAGTTTGTCAGCTACTGTGGCCTGTTTACAGCCTGACTGTGTACATTTACTCCTGACTGATATAATCCACTAACATGAAGCTGCAGAGATCCCAACCTGCTGAGGAGTAATGATTTGAAGATCATTAAAGGTTTGCCTCCATTGAAGCCCTTTAAGTGTGATTGGTGGCCCATCCTGTGTTTGTCTCTCAGGACCAGGACCTGGGCGCTACGGGCTTCCTCCCACGATTGGATTTGTCGGCCATGACTTCACGAAGCCCACCAGCCCTGCGTACTCGTTCCACGGCAGGATGAGTGATAATAGTGAGCCTGTCTCTTTGTCTGGCTTTTCACTGTGATCAGGAGGAGCTACAGTCAGACTCTCTCATACTTACTGGTCATATTAACTCCATGCTTTACTGCTGGGCAGAGTTTTGATTTCACAGGCAGAAATCTGCACAGATTACAAAGCATTTTATAGTTACATCTATCTTAAGTTATTTTATCTCCTAAAATGCATCACAGCAGCTGATTGTGTCTGCTGTGATTCCTGTGTGGTGTAATGCCACATTCTGACCACCAGGGGGAGACAACACTTCATAATTCTGCAGCTATTCCCACATTTTCTTTATCAAACTGATTCCATCCAGGTGTTTTTATGACAGCTACATGATGAAACCAGACTCAGACAGGAGGTATTAAACTGATGTAACTCTTTCTGTGCAGTGTACTGTGTTGACTCCAGTCCGGGGCCTCGATATCACATTGATGCAAAAATGACTCGCTTTGGGAAAGACGGCACGCCTGCCTACTCAATGTTGGGTAGAATGAAGGCACAGAGTAAGCATGCTTCCTTCATAATAAGCATATGTTTCTTCTGAATCCATGCTTTGTTCAGATTACAACCTGATCCAATAGCTCTGTTCTGGTTAAGAGTGAACAATAAGACATTTGCTTTTGACATGTCCTGAGGTCCAGTGTCAGCTGTTGCAACTGAACCCTGCCAGCGACGCTCCAGCATATGGTGCTGATGTGATGAGTTGCTGCTCCACTGTTCTGTTCTGTAGAGGAGCTGTTCCACACGCCCGGACCAGGAGCCTACAGCCCTGAGAAAGCCCCGCCATGCAACCTGCAGCATCGACCCCCGTCCTACACCATGGGAGCTCGGACACACTACCGCAGCACCGACGCCGTTCCTGCTCCCAACAAGTACTCTCTGCCTCCACTCATGGGCCCTCAGGTCCCAAACAAGCCGGCCAGCGCCAGCTACACCATGTCAGGTAGCTTCAGCACAGGGGGACCATCTGTGGACTTGGCCCGGACGCCTGGGCCTTGTGGGTACAACAGTACGGACCCGAGCGTTTATCTGCCCCGACAGCCGGCGTTTTCCATGTTGGGGCGTCACAACTTACCCAGAGACAGCACCAAGAAACCGGGTCCAGGAACTTATAATCCAGAGAAGGTGACGGTTCACAAGGCCCGGGCGCCAGCCTACTCTCTGGGGGTCAGACACTCGGAGTTTGTCACCCCTCTGGTGGTCAGTGTGTCTGACTGAGAACGTCATCGTAACGCCACAAAAACTATTCATGGACAAACATATATGAAGACACGTTTTATTTTGTTCTTTGAGTCACAAAGAACTTGTTAATCAACTATAACTCAGTGACAAAATGTATAATATCTAGAAATAATATATGCATGTAGGACAAACACAAGCTTAAAGAACAGATATGTCCAAACACAGTCACGGGCTCGAGCAAAATAAAGCCCTGTGCTTGTGTGACAGCTCAGTAAATAAATCAGTTTGACAAAATGTCATCAGGAGACATTTTTTAAAATGTGCTAAAAGTGTACAACTGACAGGCAAACTCCCCTTCACACTGTCACAGGGCTCCATTCACAGTCCTCTTTCATCACCTCGAAAACAAATAGAGGGAATCTGAAAGAACTAAACACGCTCTACACTTACAGGCTCTCTGTTTTCTACACAATACATTACAACACATGTAGAGATGAATGACAGATATATGGTCCAAAGACAACAGAAATCAGCAAAGAAGATAGCAGCTATGTACAGGTGGCTCCCACTTAGTCCTTCGGGAGGGGTCTTCTGAAGAGCAGTATGTGTGGCTCTGGGGAGTGAAGCAAGAAACAGGAATCTGTCAGCATCACGTACAGGTAGTGGTCACATCACAAAGTATATCATCACCTGTGGTCCCAGGTTTCACCTCACACTAACGACGCTTTACATGAACTTGTAAAGACTGCGTATATCATAGCAGAGCCTCCAGTGACTCCAGTAATGCTTCTGCTGCTGGTGGTAGCCTCCACCAACTTCTGGTTGCACCTCCTCTGAACAGAAGTGGTGCAGGTCGTCTCATTGTGTGGCTTTCTGACTCAGACGTGTTCCTTCATCACAGTCCACAGGTTCTGGACAGGGTCTAAGTCAGGACTCTGGGGAGACCAGCCTAAAACCTTCATTCTAGCCTGGTTGAACCATTTCTTTACCACGTCTGATGTGTGTTTGGGGTCAGTGTCTCGTTGGAACACCCAGAAACACTGAAGCTCCAACCTTCTGGCTGATGGTTTTAGGGTTAGGTTGAACACTGTGAAGGTAAACCTCCTTCTTCATTATTCCATTTCCTTTGTGTAAAGCACCGGTTCTACTGGCAGCAGAACAGCTCCAGAACAGGATGCTGGCAGCACCATGGCAGTAGGTTTGGTGTTTTTCTTTTAATCTTCTTTACTCGAAACACGTCTGATCATTGTGGACGTACAGCTGTTTGTTTGCTTCTGACCACAGAACTTTTATTTGTCCAAGTGATCAGCAGCAAACTTCCGTGAAGCCTTCAGGTGCTGCTTCTGGATGAAGAGCTTCCTTATTGCACGGAGGCCTCTCAGCTCAGGCTCATGCACTCACCTGGCTGTGGACCCTGACACCTGTGTTGGAACCGCTGACGTGTTCCAGTCAATGATTAGTTCTTCAGATGTGCACTGCAGTGTTTGTGACTGAGACTGATGAGTGTGTCGAATGGGCCCTAATTAAATCGGCTCGTAGGAGTCAGCAGCTGCCGTCAATCGTAATCACGTACGAGCAGCTCGGAGGCCACAGAGACAACCTGAGTAACAGCTCTACAGCACCAGAGCTGACAAGACAAGTGGCTGTATGTATAGTTTGACCCAGCAGATCTTCTAATATTCCCACAAGACCTAAACGAGACCATGAATCTATGAAAGAACAAAAAATGCACAGATTGTTTTTTTTGTCACAACGACGCACTGGTTTCAATCATCTCATCACTGAAAACTCAGAGTTGTCGGAGTCACTGGAAACTAAAGACTGCCGTGATGTACAAGGTGTTTGTAAGTGTGTGTGAACTCTGTGTTTCATGTCTGTCTTAATACACTATGGCCATGATGGGCTCCATGCTGAACGTGAAGAGATCCTTTCAGACTACAGTTCACCAGCCGGCCACCAAAACACACACACAGCTCCTCCTCTGTGTGACTTTCCCTCTAAAGCTGAGAGCTCCAGGGAGGAGATCTGTCATGGTCAACGGTTTTAGAACAAGAAGTCCCTGAACACTGTTTCCCTCCCAAGCTGCAGTAAAAATAAAGTGACAAGCTTTTGGTGGTAAAAAACAGCTTTGACAGCATTCATCTGATCTCCCTGACTCAGAGCCACACATGAGCACTGACCTGGTTTGTGGATCATGTAGTGGATCCAGCCCTGGCTCTGCTGCACCCCGAGTCCTCTCCACTCGTCTTCTGTCATCAGGTGGGAGGTGGGCACCAGCTTGGACAGCTCCTTGGGAAGCACAACATGTCTGCGAGAAGGCGGATCACAAACATGTCAAGAACGACCCACTAAGGCTCAGAAAGTCCACTCTGTCGGGCAGGAACAGCGAACAGAACCAGTTAACGTCCAGTGTTATTTTTCTTTACTTTGCAGCAGCAGTAATTTATCCACTAAGTTCTGACACCGCCGCGGCTAACAGTTAGCATGGCTAGCTGTTAGCAAGGAGCTGTTCTGGTGGAGCTCTGAGTCCACGTCACACCCACAGTTTACTTCTACCAGACACACACACAGCCTTCACCACTAAATTAACAAACATCAGGAGGTCAACGTTACGCTGCAGCTACAGCAGTTAGCTCCGTCTAACGTTAGCGGACAGCTGGAAACAGAACAACGGTACCGGACCTGTACTCGAACTCGTCGTCGTTGTACTTGTCCGAGTAGAAAATCTGCTTCTTCGACATTTTGGCTCAACGACGGCGGTCAGAGCTGAGGTCCAGAAAGGTGCTGTCGGTTAACGCGAAGTCAGTTAGTTTACGGTGTGTTCCTGCGCAACAGCCTGCTGTCATCTGCCGCTGTTTTCTGCGGAAAAATTCAAACCCCAACGGTTTCCCGCAGTCCCCGGATTGGTCACCGCAGCAGGCAGCGGAACGGCGGGATCGTCTATTGACGGGAGGATGAGCCGCTCGGCGGGAAAAGCGCAGCTCTGTGGCGAGGCGGCAGAGTTTACAACCTGGAGGAGGGTGTGTGTCCCAGAACATGTTGTTTAAAAGCAGTTCCAGATATTATCCTACAGATCTGGTTAAATAAGGAGGAGGGGTTTGAACTGAGGATGTGAGCTGTATGTAAAAATGATTTGAGTTGAGTGAACGCAGAATGTGGACGGAGTGGGAGCTCTTCCTCTCAGACGATCTGGTGACGTAGCGTCTGCGCACCTTTGACTTCTGGGAGCTGTAGTTTAACCGAGAGACGAACTACACCGTTAATAAGGACAACAATTACCCAAAGGGATGAATTCTATCACTACAATTCTAAATATATTTTTATTGTTTAGGGTGAACCAGGTAAGACGCCCCCTGTTAGAACCATTTCCATTTTCTTTAGGATGTACGTGTTTCCCTGTCAGGACACAAGAAGCAGTTTGAACAAACAGCTGGCATCTGGCCCACAGCCCCGAGGAAGAAGCTCCACAGGGGGGAGTCTGAAGTCACGAGTCACTTTGATCAATACAAATCTGTTAGTCATGCGGAAAACTAAGTTTATTGTTAAATTCTGGATGTTGTTTTGACTGTAATTGTGACATAAATTATAGATGATAAGAAACGATTCTTGATTTTTAAAAAATAAAATAAAATTGAAACAGTTTGCTGATTTGACTGTCATGTCAGGAGTTTAAATCTCTAAATTAATAAAGTTACAGTAAAGTTTTGTCCTGGGCCCAGATAGTCGAAGTGAATCAGCAACAGATCGATGGATCAGCAGGGGAGCCTCCAGCAGCATCGACATCTTTATTTACAGTCTTACATTTTTACATAACACAAAAGTTTTTTTTTTTTTTTTTTCAAGGAATAATCCTAAATATAACTCTCAAATCTGTATATATGCTGTATATTTATGTGAAACACTTCTTTTGATTTCTTCAAACCAATAAAAACATTTCAAAGTTTATCAAGCCTACTGTATTATCAGAGAAGAGGGCATTTGACCCCGTGTTACCCTGAGTGCAAAAATACCCCCAGCCAGTGTATGTACAGGTAAAAAGATAAGGATTTCAGTTTTCTTTATATACTAGCTGTTCAAACTTATGGTGTAACAGGATTGAATATGAACTCTAAGCATGACTTTTGGCAGTGATATGTAGATTTTTCCTAATTATTTGACAAGTTTAATTGCATATTTAAAATGCGATTCAGCCCAGAGTCACTACACACACGCTGTCTGTTCCATCTGCTCTATTGTTTACTCAAATGTCTTTCTGTTCTCGTTAATGATTTGTAGCTACAAGCTCTCTCTTCTTCTTCTTCTTTCTTCACATTTTAACCAAACAACGTCGTTTCCTTCGCTGCACCCTGTGCTGCTGTTCTAAGTTGTAATCACTGTTGTCAGGGTAATGGCTGCTAATGAGCGGTGGTGTATTCACAGCAGGACTTGTTCCACTCGTATACGCAGTCAGGAGGTCAATCTGTTAACTCCTCACACACAGAGCATAACTGTGTGATTGAAATTACAGCGTAGCATCAATTGTAATGAAGTCATCTATTGGTACCAACGCAAATCAAACTGTACTAATCCTTGTAAGGACCATGTTGCATTTATCTGCTTAAAATGCTCAACGAATTTAATTTGCAGAAATAAAATCAACTTATTTTGCTTCTGCGTGTGGCTCTTGTGCAGTAATTTACCAGAAAGGAAAAGAACAGAACAGACAGAGAAAGTCCAGTTAGCGGTGCATCTGTCAACATGCATCGATTCCATCTGGTTTATCAGTAACTCTTCATTCCCTGCAGCAAACAAACCAGAAGTGATTGGCTGAGTGCAGGTTGGTGGGCTGGAGGTGCTGGTGTCGCAGCCCTTCTGATGGCCTTTGTGTGTCTGCTTTGTTCTAATCTGGACTCTTCAAGTGAAGAGCCTGACATAAAGGTAAGATTCCTGCATCTGGGACATGTCTGACTCACGTTTAGCTTGTGTTGTGTGTTAGAAGCATTTCTGGTTGTTTGTGTATTTGCTCGGTGTTGTTCTGAGTTAACTGAACAACCGCTTATTGACTGAACTGTCTTTTTGTTGGCAGAAAATATGGTGTTTTTCTTACACTTTCCAAACTGATTATGGGACTAAACACATCACACTGACCTGAAATGATGCAGTTTATCTGATTTCATTTGAGCGTAATGAGCCTTTACCTGGTGGCTGTTGGGTTATTTCACAATCCATGTGTTTGGAGAGTCTGATTTCTTCTGCCTATCTTCTGTTTTCTCATGTTTAATCCCTTCTTGACCCACGTTGTGTTGCTCACTGGTACACCTGACTGTATGCACACCTGATGTTACCTCATGTGTACGATGGAACAATACACTTGAGAGAGAAACAGAACAGAGTGAAAAAACGGTTGGACGGGGAACGAGGAGGCAGCAGGACGGAGGGTGCATGTGAGGAGCTAAAAGGATCACGCTGGGATGGCTGATTGCTCTCCGGGGAGGTGGATGGGGAGAGCTCAGGCAGATGGGATGGGCTGGATGTTGTCAGACATGCGGTGCTTTACGAGTGCAGCCGCATTGTTTTCTTTGTTAAGTTTTTGTGTCGAGCCGAGACAAATGGAATTACACCCACAGGCATCGACTCACAGGATTCACTTCACTGACTGTACGAGTCTCATTCTGATGTTTACTCACGTTCACAATCAGGTTTCAGTTTTATATTTTAATATATTATTGCTGCGGTATGTTGTGTTAGTGTTTTTGTAATTTGAGTTTACTACTGATGATACTCCCAATGAAGGACAGTGATTATGGAAATATATCAAAACATACATAAAGATATAAAGATAACATCTTATAAAACACATTGAATTAAATCAAATCAAATGTATTCATATTTAAAAACAACCTGAGCTGACCAGAGTGCATGTTGTCAGACCAGCAGCTACCAAATCAGGTGCAAACAGAGAAAAAACATGTTAAACAAATAAAACGGTATAAAATACTAAAACAGGAGAAAGAAGACAGCAGCTTGTAAGATTAATTTCGGAAATGGAAATAAATATGAACTATTAAGAGCAGCCAAAAGCCGCTGAAAACACTGATGACCAATCACATCCACTCCCTCTCCATGTCAGGCTGTTTGGAAGCAAGAAATGATTACTGATTCTTATCTCAGTGGCACCAAAAGCAAGAAGAAATGATTACGCATGCAATATTCATCATCTTAAAAGCAAAGCAGCCTTATCTATAATCTCAATGCCATTGATTTCTTTTGCTGCTAAACACTGACAGCATGTTTCATCCTCAGAGGTTTGACATCCTGCTGCTAATTTTCTCCAAACACGTCGTCCACTGATGCTGCTTATTAATTTGCTGGATGTACTTTATGCACACGTGTGTGTTTGTGTGTCTGGGATTCGGGCGGTTCAGGCTGATGTGTTTTAGCTGATCCAGGCTGAGAGCAGCTGGGCAGGGCAGGGCTAATAGACCAATGACATCATCCAGAGAGAGAGGGAGGCTGGAGTGTTTGCCTGAGGCAGCAGAAGGAGGCAGGCCGGCTCAGAGGGAGCACAGCAGCATGCCAGCGGGACACAGTGTGAGCGGGAGAGGACCAGACAGCATCCACGCCTCCACTCGCATAAGGATATAGGAAGATTCTCACTCCAGCTTTCTCCTCCTCTTCCATTACACCTCTCCCCCCCTTCCCCTTCCCCTTTCCCCCCTCTCCCCCCCTCCCCGCAGTTACCCCCCCCCCCCCACCCTCAGCTCCTGCTCCAGGCGGCTCCTCCGGGCATGCTCCTTAAGCCAAAGTATGGCCGCTTTCGCAATGAGTCTGTGACCTCCTCCGACGACCTGATGCAGAGCTTAGCCATGAGCGGCAAAGTTGTGGCCACACCGGTGGTCCCGTCCTCCACCCCGAGCCTCCCTCTGCCTCCTCTGCCTCCTCTGCCTCCTCTGCCTCCTCTGGATCCCAGCTCCAGGTCCTCCTCCTCCTCTGCTGGGGCTGCAGCCCTGGCCGACTCCCCTGGCCTGGATGGGGAACAGGATGCCACCACAACCTTCTGCATGCTCATTCCCAAGATGCCCCAGTGGAAGTTCTCCAACTCTCTGCTCAGCCGGAGCCCGTCCAACTCCAGCTCCAGCTCCAGCTCCAGCAAGGACTCGGGGAAGGCAGCATCAGCTCCTTCCCAGGCCTCCTCTTCTTCATCCTCCTCACACAGGCCCAGCGGCGTGACCTCAGTCAGCGGGCCGGTGGCCAGCCTCGCAGCAGTGCTTAACTCCTGTGACCCTGTTTGTGTCACCCCATGTTCCCTACAGGCCATCCGGGGACAGCGAGCCGTAGCGGCGGCAAGTTCTGCCGGTCCAGGAGGCCACGGATTTGGGTCTCCGGAGGTCATGGTGAGCCCTGGTGGTCCCAGCAGCTCCAGATCAGGGATGAACCGCAGGACAAGGGGGGAAGGCATGTGGCTGGGGGGAGAGGACTTCAACCAGAAGGGCAGCTTCATCCACAAACCCTCTCAAGGCTGGCTGCACCCTGACAAGAAGATAGCAGGACAAGGAGCCTCTTACATCGTCAGGGTAAGTCTGAGGGCATCTTTGTTAATGCACGGGGTAAATCCATCACTAAAACACATAAAGAAACGTCTACCTAATGTATGATGTCCTTTAAATGAAAAAGAAAGAACTTGCTCAGTCGTTCATCACTTATCGCCTCCCCAGCAGGAATATTAATGACCCCATTTAAAGGTCTCTCTATCTGGGAGGGAAACAAAAGGACACCTCACTAGCAGGCAGCTTGTTATGCAGCTCATGTGGCGAGGACTGGGGAATACATAATTTAATCCAGATAGATGGCTTGGCGTGGCTGGTTGGGAGACTGCGTCAGGACAGCACACAAGGCGTCAGGGTGGAGACGGACGAACCCTGAAATTATGTGTCCAAACTGTAGGACGGGTTTGTTGTTTACTGAAGGTAGTATACAGCATAGTGCTGCTCCAGCAGGAAGGCTCTGTATTTATAGAGCCTGTAGCCTATATGTCTGATGCTGGGCTCTCCGGTGGGAGTGGTGCTCTTTGTGTGGTTTGTTTACTTTCGTGACTGCAATGAATTATTACGGTTTTATCCACAAAATGTGATTTACAGTCTCTTAGCTTGATGAATGTCGGGGTTTATCATCGTTTGCATCGCTGTTGCATGCTTCTAAATATTCCACAAACTCTGTCCTCAATCAAATTAGGACGCAGAAAGAAACGGATTGATTACGAGGTAAACAGATAACGGCGTGCTTCAAAGAGACGCCTTCACCAGCGTATGTGTGTTTACGGACAGTCACCGTCCCAAGCAGACTGCTTGACGTCAATGATCTCCCCTCAGCGATCCCCCCATGACGGTTCACCTCTGCCCTGCTCCTCCTCCTCCTCCCCCTCACACTGGTCACATGGCTCCTGATTAGCCCAGTCTGGGGCCCGAGCACGCCTTCTAATGGCATTATACAGGCACCATTCATTCCTATATTCAATTAGGTTTAATCACAGTCATTTGCATCATGTGATGTGGAGGAGCAGGACGGGAGGGGTCCAAATGTTGAGCTCGCTGTGCACGCCTTTCCAAGATTCACAACAAGTGCTGCTCTGGCGTCTGATTGCTTTCAGCTCAGGATCTTTCAGCAGCTTATTGTTGTCTTCTGCACGTGCAGTGATTTCTACATGATTGTAACGTCTGAGATGCACAGAAGCATGTGTGCGTTCAGCGGTGCGTCCATGCAGGGTGGAGACGGTAGAGTTCTGCTGCACTGTGCTGGTTCTGTTTCTAACATGTCTCCTGGGAAAGACACAAACATGGTCCTTGGTGTGATGGTTTTACACTTTCCCTCCATGTCTGTCCTGCATCTGCCCTCTCCGATAGCCAGGACGCTGCAGCAGACATCAGGCAGAGCGCTGCAGCTGCCAAAGCAGCCGTCCTGATCAGCAGCGCTGTAGTGAAACCAGGCTGCTGTCACTTCCTCTCCTCGCTTGTCACATGATAAACACCTGTCATCTGTAACGGGACGGCCTGGTGCTGTGGATGCTGTTTCCAGAAAGATCCGAGCAGCTGGTTTTATTGTAGCACGCTTTAAAATCTCATATAAAGGACTGGAAATAGGAAATAATTCTTTAAACTGTTTAACAGAAAACATCTTCTAACATCTGATGTAAACGTGAACAGCATGAAACTAGAAGAAACTTCAGGATCCAGGATGACTTTAGCTTCACAGCACAACCTGGAAAAAGAAACGATTTGTTGTCAGCTCTAAAAATTAACCACAAAAGTCATAATATAATGTCTATATGAGATGCTAATGAGCTTATTTACCACAGCTGACCATAAAGTGACGCTGTCTTTAAGTGTTGGTGTTTTACGGATATTTTCTCATATTTAAAAGAAAAATTATGAATAACAGATGAAAAATGTTGAACTTGTTCTTTAAACAGTTTTTTTTAAAAGATTTTTGCCATTTTGTTGAATTACAGACAAATCTACTAAAATCTGATGTAAAAATGCACAAAATCATGAATTTAATCCAACTTTATGGTCCAGAGTGAAGGAAAGTTGTTGTGACGTCGCTGGCAGCAGCAACAGGAACTGATTTGAAAACAAAACAACATTTGTTCACTTATTTGAACATATAATTCTGCTTTTTGTGACTGTTTTAATCAGCACTAAGTACTGGTATTTTACAGATATGTGTGTTTGTATATTAAGGATATAAAAAACAGAAAACCATCCTTTAAACTCATATTTCACAGATTCGTGCTGTTTTGTTGAATTACAGACAATATTTAACAGAAGTATGAAATCAGAGGGAACGTTATGGTCCGGAAGGAAACTGATTTCTTCTGACTTCGCTGCTCCCAGCATAACTTAAAAACAAGAAAGGATTTGTTCTCAGCTTCTCAGGAAGAAAACAGAATACATGATGTGTGTGGCAGACACCGGCCATCCATCACTGCTCATACGTGAGCCGCTCGCTGCCTCAGGGCGAAATTAAAGCTTATTACATTGTGAACTTATGACATGTTCTATAGCGACAAACTGAACCGGCAGTGATTTATGAGCGAGGAGGAAGGAGGACGCCAGTGTTGTGAAACTGCTGAGGAATGTTTCTTGGAAAGTCAGCGTCCTCGTCGTCACAGGAATCAGAGCTCCAAGGACGACAGAGCAGAGAGGATGATGGGAGGAGTTGCATCAGCACATGAGAGGGTGACAGTGGAAGCACTGGCAGAGAGGAAGCATCCTCCTGATGGAAGACTTCCCTCATGTCCAGATCTTATTAGAAAGCTCATTAAGCTGTGAGGCCCAGAGGCCCTCACTCGTCTCTCGCTCCGTGCTGTGTTTGTGGTTGTTGGCTGGACTGGAGTCATTCTGGAAAACAAACCAAATATGACGCTGACTCAACTTTACTGTGGGACCATAATTCACTTAATACGCTTCAGGAAGAGTTCATATTGTACACGCTGTGTCTGACGGGATTCAAGAGAAGTTCTTATGAGCCTGTGATCCGGTCACACACTATAAAAAACGGACCTTTAAAACTGTGTTCACGCTGATGGTTTGATTCTCAGCATCCTGTTAGTTTACATGTTTCCCTGTTTTGTTCAATTGCATCTAATTACCACTAAAACCACAGGAAAAAAAATACATGTTAACTTTACATGTTAAAAAACAAACAAAACAACAACGACAACAACAAAAACATAAACAACAACAAAACAGGCCCAAATTGTAAATAACTTCCACACCAACATCTAAAATGTTCATCAAAGGTTAAAGAAAAACAGTCAAAAACTGTAAATATGATCCTCATCAAACGTCTGTATTTCTGTAAATAGTTCTTTGTTGTGTTACGACGTGTGACCATAAATTCACTCCGTTTAAACTCTATCAGACATTTGCTGTTATTTTCAAAGTATTAAATGTTTTAAGCATCACAGTATTTTACATTTTATTCTGGTTTTTCCTTCTTCTTCTTGTTTTATCAGTGTAGTGCCACAGACACATGCAGGTGGAATCTGTTCATCAGTCTGATATCACACATCTGTAACACCACAGTTTATTCTTTCTGTTTATTTCGTGGCTTATTTAGCAGGAAAAGTTCGTTTTAAATGTTGTGATTGTGCCATCAGCAGGAGTTTTACTTATTCCAGTGGTTCTGGATAGATTCTGACACCATGAATACATCAGAGGACTCACATGTCAGCTTTAACCTCCCACATATACAAATACAGGAGATGTTCAGAGGCACCGGTCAGAAACACACTCACACCCTCAGAATCCCCCAGAGGCTCAGAAGCTGCAGCTTGTCCGTGATTTGGACCTCTTAGCGCTGCTAATCTCGTCACGGCGCCATTAGCACCCCAAACTGAGCCATTAGGACGCTGCTCAGCTGGGACTCACCTCAGCGCTCTGGAAGGGTTTAGATGGAGATTACTGAAGACAGCGACGGTTAGCAGCAGATGTTTACGCCTGAAAATGTCTTTGTGGTTTTGGAGAGTGACTGAAACGCGATTGTTCATTTCAAAGCAGCACATTTACAGCTGATAGAGCCACACGTACTTCTGTCTCCACGTCAGGTGAAGCATTTATATATAATAGTATATGTACACATGCTACTATATATATATATATATATATATATAATGGTATATGTACACATGCTACTGACTTTTCAGATGAACTTTTTACATTAAAAGTGCTTCAAGACAACAAACAACAGCTCTAACAGAACACGACCTTGTTCACGTGTCTGAAGTGTTTTTATATGTTGGAGACACATCATGAGCACAACACACATGGAATTAAACGTTTGGGTTTCATCCGAAACCGAACCGAACCTGTCGCAGAATAATTAATCTGCTTCAACATCAGTTTCTAATTTGAACACGTCTTCAGATTCAGAAAACTTTATGTGACCCCAGGGGGCGCCGAAGAGCAGGCGGTGCAACAACGACGTAAAGATAAGTAGCATAAATTAAACACGTAGAGATAAATAGAAATATATTTACTAATGTAGGACAAGACGTGTGAATCATCCCCGTCGCTCATTCATGCTTCCAGCTGTTCACAAATACAATAAAAACAGAACAGACGTGTGATGGATATACGTACGTGTGACTCTTTACAACAAAAAGTCATCCTCTGATGATCACAACAGTCCAGTTCTCCAACATGAACCTTCAGACAGATCAGAGCAAACAGCTGTATGTGTTTTCTTCTTTCCTTCGACCTCCTCTTTAGAACACCAGCTTGTTTTTACCTCATCAGCGTGTCAATAAGGTGTTTTTAATTATTCTGGAGGACACGTCATGAACAGAACAAACACCACAGCATCTCCACCTTCAAGCTACGGTTTGACAGAAACAGTCCGTTTGTAGGTGGAGCGTTTGGCTGAATCACTCCAGTTGTGCAGCGTACCAGTTCTACACCAGTTTAGCAGAGCTGTAGGCGAGCTGGTGTGCTCGGGCTGCAGCGGTACAACAACACCATCTGAATGTGTAGCTGTGATCCATGCAGATGAGTTTCTGGGAATAAATGAACCAAATCAGTCATTTTCTGAGACGTGTTGTACTGATTGTCCCCTCTGCTCTGGTTCCTGGCAGTACATGGGCTGCATCGAGGTGCTCAAGTCGATGCGCTCCCTGGACTTCAACACCAGGACTCAGGTGACGAGGTAAGCTGCTAACCGCCTGCACTGCTGCTGCTGACTCAGCAGAATATGATCCAACATGTGTCGTATTAATTCACGAGATCAGATTGCGTCCAGCGCGGTGTCGGTTTGGAGCAGGTCTGGTTCTGTTATCAGCAGAACGTGGACGTGGCGGTACTGAACCGAGCCACACGTGTAGCTTCAGTTCAGTTCATTCTGAGTTTCCATCGACTTGTTCACCAACAGGAACGTCAGTGGAAGCATGAAAAGTTCAAACTAAACCCAAAGACAGCACAGCGTCCCGGGTTCCTCCGGGTCTACATGTGAAGCTAAACCTCAGGGTCCGACTGTGTCTGGTTCTGAGTTCTTACGCCCTGCACGTGATGTTATTGTTCTAACAGCAGCATGCAGGCCTCATGGGAGACCAGCACTCCCCCACTCCGTCTCTCACCCGCCTCGCTCTCCTCGCCATCGATCGGCGGTAATCTGAGCCGGCCGAGCAGCCGAGGCCTTAAGTGCAGGAGCAGAGGGGGAGGGAGCAGCAGAGATGGAGGGATGGGGCAGATCTATTATTGATGATGTTCGCTAATGACTGAGGAAAGCTGCAGTGGTCCCCGTGAGCTGCTGGATGATGTCTGCGCTGGAGCTTCATCAGGAGGAGGAGGAGGAGGGATGCTCAAAACAAACAGCAAAACAAGACGCCGGCGAAGGGAGGAGACCAAGATGGCCGCCTCTGGTTCTGTTGTTGTGCCACTGACTGCATTGTCTGGGAGGTGACGGATGTGTTTTGCATCCTTGCGGCGGCTGATTGTTAGAGTTCATTGTGTTCTCACTGTTTACTGAAGGAGCTCATGAGGCGGTTACAAACATTCACCCAGAAACACTGAAACACGAGGCCCTGGTTCACGGTTCTATGTTTAATATTTACTGGATGTGAACAGTCACAACTCAGAGCAGCGTTTAGAGTCAGAGGTTCTGCATCCATCCAGAACCAAACAGTTCTTACGTGTTTATTGTGACTCCAGAGGTTTTCACTGTTGTGTTGAATTATGTGCACATCAAACGTCTGTGTTCTTATAAACAGGAATTCGTTTTTTTTAACATTCGGCTGTAAAATGACAAAGTTTTTACTGTATTTAAATCAGTTGTTTTTATTTTATTTTGCACATTTATTTTTTTTTTTTACTATTTTATTTTTATTTGTGTAATTTATTTTTATAGTTTTTGAATGTTACAGTAGTTCACCATTTTTATGTATTTTTCTTCAGACAGATTCCTTAAGTTTTGTTTTGTTTTGTTTTTTGTAGAATTCTTAAAATGTTATTTTTATTTGTATTTATTTATTGTTGTTTTTACATATGTCTGGCATTATTTGAAAAACTAATTATACATTATTATTTTTTTTTTAAATCTATTTATTTTATTGTTGTTAATTCACAGATAATAGGTAATAAAACCTCAGAATATAAATTAGTCATTTCTCTGTGAACCCTGAAGGACCGTGTCATGGGTAAATAATGTCCATGATCAAAATAATCTCCATTTTTCCAAATGCTAATTTATTCTTCTACAATGTGTGACTGTAAAACTACAAACTTTTTACTGTAAAATACTTTTAAATCAGCAAAGATCATTAATCAAGAACTGTTCTGTGATAGAAAAAGTGGTAAACTGATATTTGCTGTTATTTAAAAGATTTAAAGGTTAAAATAATTTATATATTATACATATATTAAAAATTGGTAAATCATTCTCAAACTGTTCATCAAACAGATTTTTATTTTATTAATTTAGAAATAATTACAAATAAAATCACAGATGAAAGGACGAGCTGTCTGTCAACAAACTGGACATAATGTTCACATCAAAGTCTGCATGTTCTTCAATATTCATTTTAAACTTTTGTAATGTGTGGCCGTAAAATTAGACGGTTGAACTGGATTTAAATCAGCTAGAAGTGTCTTTATATTACAGATATCCACACATGTTTATTAGTGTTTTTATTTATTTCTACAGCTGATTATTTTCTCTGGGAACCTTGTGGACAGATTTTCATCATTATTTATGGATTATTTTTCACTGACTCTGCGGACTTTGTCCAGTTTCCTGACTTGTGCACAACTTTATTAATTTAGTTCAGGACAAACCACCAGAACACATCAAGTGTTTGTGAGAACGTCAGAACGTCAGAACGTCAGAACCGTCCTTCAGCTCCTGGATGTGGACGTTCTCTCTGTGTCGCTGTTTAACAGCAACTCTGACCATAAAGACGCCTCGAGTTTAATGCAGGGACGAGACCCAGGAAGCCACAACAACAACAACAGCAGCCTCCTCCTCCTCCGTCCTCCTCCTCTCTCCTCCTCTCTCCTCCTCCTCCTCCTCCTCCTCCTCCTCCTCT